TTCAAAAAATACTTTAAAAAAATGTAATGTCTATGTATGTAAGGTCCTTCAAAAAATACTTTAAAAAAATCCACGCCTTTGTAAGGTCCTTCAAAAAATACTTTAAAAAAATCTTTAAAAAATCCACGCCTATGTAAGGTCTTTCAAAAAATACTTTAATACAACCCACGCCTATGTAAGGTCCTTCAAAAAATACTTTAAAAAAATCCACGCCTATGTAAGGTCCTTCAAAAAATACTTTAAAAAATCCACGCCTATGTAAGGTCCTTCAAAAAATACTTTAAAAAATCCACGCCTGTGTAAGGTCCTTCAAAAAATACTTAAAAAAAATCCACGCCTATGTAAGGTCTTTCAAAAAAAAAAAAATACTTTAAAAAATCCACGCCTATGTAAGGTCTTTCAAAAAAATACTTTAAAAAATCCACGCCTATGTAAGGTCTTTCAAAAAAATACTTTAAAAAATCCACGCCTATGTAAGGTCTTTCAAAAAAATACTTTAAAAAATCCACGCCTATGTAAGGTCCTTCAAAAAATACTTTAATACAACCCACGCCTATGTAAGGTCCTTCAAAAAATACTTTAAAAAATCCACGCCTATGTAAGGTCCTTCAAAAAGTACTTTAAAAAATCCACGCCTATGGAATTTTGAAATTTATTCCTACAAAATCTGAAAATATCAGCTATTTAGAGTTCGGATACTTCTATCCTTAAATTTTTTTAATAACGAGGCATGTGAATGAATGAAATACATCGAATACAAATAAATAATTTCCCCCAACACACTTACCTTTGGCCTCATGTAGATCACGGCATATTTTACTATTTGTCTCGTGCAGCAATTGGATTTGTTCCATCAACACATTAAAGAATTTATTATTTTGATCCATATCATTGGGTAGATTATTACGACGATCTGGCGTATTTTGACCACTCATTTTCGAATCGTTATCCGAAGGATTCAATAGACAGGGGTCACTAAATCTGAAACTAAAAAAAAATAATTAGAATTATTATTTCCTCAAGATTCAAAAATAATTATATTACCCCCGACTTATATTCGGATTACTGGCACTGCCATCTAAAACATCTGTAGAATTATTTTCATGTTCGGATGAATTACCGCCACTTCCGCCGCCCATGATATTTACCATTGGTGGTAGACTGGCAAAGTCCTGCGAACCATCATTTTGTGGATAATAACCACCGGTCGTCATGGATGGATATATCATCGAATAGCGATTATTGAAGGCATTCATTGAGGACGGTTTCATAAAGTTCGGCATGGGCTGAAATATTTAAAGAAGCAATTGTGGAGATTAGTATAAATAGGATAGGAGTAAGTTAGAAAACTTTAAAGTTCCCCTTTTGTTGTTGTGTACTTACCCTCTGAAACCCTTGACTGAATGGAAAATTATAACTACTACTATTTGTCAGATTATTGCTAAGGGGATTTGATGATGTTCGCATGGCGAATTGTTGTTGTTGCTGTTGTGGTGAATTCATTGCTTGTTGTTGTTGCTGCTGCTGGCCCATATTTGCCATATTGAAAACTGGCGATTGTTGCTGCTGCTGCGAGAGGAGATTCTTCTGATTTAAATTATTTGCAGAATTAGATGTGCTGGTCTTTACCGTCGGATTATAATCTAGAAATTCCGATGATGAAGACAGCTGGGTAGCGGAGGCATCTTTCAAGCATGTCTCCAGCCAAGCATCCAAATGATCTTTTGTATAGCCACCACTACCACCACTTCCTATACTGCTATTCAAAATCGATGCTGGCAATGTTGTGCTATTGCGAGATTTCAATTTTTTTCGTTTTCCCATTTCACTGATGACAGCTAAAAAGAAAGAATAAAAAAAACAAAAATCGATTAGGTTTCCGACATGAATTAAAATAATTAGGGGTGTTCGTATTGTGTTATTGTGACCTTGTGATTGTTCGAAACAATTTTTTCCTATTGCATTGAATATCTGCTCCACTTGTTTGTAATTATTTCGAATGGGATTTTGTTCCATCAGCTCACTATTGTTGTAAAAACTTTGTATTTGAAATAAGTTTGAATTGATTATTGGGTTGGGAATACCCTAATCAGTGTTGGAAGCCTATCCCGAATGTATTGGGGCTGGCATGTGTTGTGTTCGGCAGATAATAATGAACTAATTAAAATAAATGACAGCATATATTGATCTTTTCATGCCTTCATCTTTATGCGGGAGGATCTGAACCATTTACATTAGAAAAATATATATTTTAAAAAAACCCCGCCTATGTAGAGTCATTGAAAAAAATATTTTTTTAAAAATCCAAGCCTATGTAGGGTCATTGAAAAAATATTTTTTAAAAATCCACGCCTATGTAGGGTCATTGAAAAAAAGATTTTTAAAAAAAATCCACTCTTATGAAGGGTCATTGAAAAAAAAATATTTTTAAAAAATCCACGCCTTTGTAGGGTCATTGAAAAAAAAATATTTTTAGAAAAATCCACGTCTATGTAGGGTCATTGAAAAAAAAAATATTTTTAAAAAATCCACGCCTATGTAGGGTCATTGAATAATTTTTTTAATTAATTTCTCCTTCCACTTTTCCCTCCCCTCAATTTCAAAGAATTTGCAATCTCTTTTGTTAATCTCCGGGACCGGATATTACAGTTATTAAAATTGGTGTATTTATGTCACCTCGATTTCAATTAAAAATGTTCCCCCTCTGTTTAAAATTGAATGTGGCGCCCAACATAATGAAACTGAGAACACAAGAGATTTTTAAATAGTTGCACATATATGAGTGGATGATTTTTTAATTTTCTGTCTTTTGTCGCACACTCCGCACCCTTGTGCTCCACTTCAGAGTCATAATCTTCCATTTATTCATTCACATTCAAAGATAAACTGGAAAAAGATACTCAAACAGACGGACACGTTTTGTTTTCAAAGAAGAGTGTTCAGAATGGGCCACAAAAAAAAAAGGAAAATAATAAAAGGTCATAGTGGTGACAGGCAGGGCTAGGAACTGAAAAGTGACCAGCTAAAGCCATGAGTTGTTCATAGACGAGCTGAATATAGTATTCATATAGACGAGATAAAGGGAGTCTATATCGGCGAACTAAATGTATTCTCTATATTCTCCCTGAGGGGAGTCTTTATGGACGACAAAAGGAATGATCCGAGGGGACTCTAAACTTAACATGGACTTTGTATGCAACCTGAAGGGGTCTCTATAGATGTTCTGAAGAGAGTATTTCTGTAGATGAGCGAACGGAAGTCTATATAGGAGACCTGAAAGGAGTTTCTATATGCGACCTGGTGGAAGTATCTATAGACTAGCTGGAGAAAGTTTATCATAGACGTTTGGATGGGAGTCTCTATAGACCATGTGAAAGGAATCGAAATAAAGACGAAATAAAGGTAGTCTCTAATTCCGTCTAAAGGTAGTCTCTTCATAAACACCGAAGGTAGTCTTAAAAAAAAAAGCTGATGCGATTTAGTAGGAAGTCTACCTACTGAAGCCTAGAATCTTTCCATAGACGAGCGGTAGCTGGTAGTCTTACAATAGACGAGATGAAGTCTTTCTATAGACGATCTGAAGATCAGTGAGACTTTTATAGCTGTGGATTTAGCTTTCCATATTCGGGCGGTAGCCAATGGTATTTCTATGGACGAGGTGAAGTCGGGCGTCTTTCTATAGAGTCTTTCATAGACGAGCGGAAGCCCGGAGTTTTTATATAGGCGAGTTCTATAAAAAACGTTTGTAGGGTAATTTTTATATTCACTCTGAAAACTTTCTGCTTTAGAAAATAGAACACTTCAGTGAGATCTTCTATCTATTAAAGGCCTCTGTTAGGCCTTCAATCTATAATATCACTCTTTGGACAATGAAATCTCTGGGATGCCTTCAATCTACAAAAGAACTTTGTGAGTGCATCTGTCTGTGGAAGAGTCCTGCGTGGTCTTCTATCTATAGAGGTTTTCTATTTATAGAAGTCCTATGTGAGTTCTTCCATATGTGGAGAGCTTCTGTGATGTCTTCTGTCCAAAGGGAGGCTTCAGGTGGCAATACTGTAAGGAATTAGACGATATTGATTATATAACGCCACTCAGAGGTCACTTACATATTAAATTTTTCTGTGAAACATCTCTGTGAGGTCTTCTATCTTTAGAAGATCTGTTTTAGGTCCAGGTATTTGTATAAAGTGTGAGGTATATATACGAAGCCCTCTGTCTATAGAATACCTATGCGATTTTCTCATTTAATAGTAAGTCTTTTAGTAACGTTTTCTATCCATCGAAAACACCCTGTGTGTCATCTGTTTATTGAAGTCGTCACTGAGATCTTCTATCTAGGGAAGTTCTCTTGCAGGTCTTCTAACTCCAAAAGAAGTTTGTGAGTTCTTCCATCTACCGAGAAGGTTTTCTACCTATGAAATGTTATTGAAAGCATGGACGTATCGAATTACCGGTTTCTATTTATAGAACAACTCCGTGGGGTGTCCACTTTTAAAATTATATAAAAGGCCTCCAATCAATGATTGATTTTATTGATTGGAGGCCTTATATAGAATTATTGGGCTATGAAATATCTGAGAAGTCTTTTGGTCTGGTAGTTGTAGAATGCTTCTGTGAGGTCGCTCTATGAGATCCTCAACCATGGAACGTCTCTGTGAGTTTATTGATCCATTGAAAGCCTTTATGACAACCACCGAAAAATCGCCTCAGTGGTTTTCTGGTTATAGAAGCCCTCTGTGAGGCCTTCTGCCTATTGATGTCATCGCAGAGGTCTTCTATTTATGGGAGGGCTCTTCGAAGAATTTTGAAAAAGAATGACTTGTTGATTTCTTCTATTTATAGAAAGCACCTGTATATGGCATATCTCTAAGAAGTTCTTATTAGGTCGCCATATCCTTTAAACAACCAATATTTGGTCTAGGATCTAGGATCAATAAATCTTATAATACCCTTACAACATTATTATGTATGGAATTTCAAAATACCCCAAATTTAAGGATTGTGAATAAATATAAGGATTGTGAATAAATATAAGGATTGTGAATAAAAATTGACATACATTAAGAACGACGTCAAAAGACCTAGAGCCTTTATAATGCATAGATTTGATCGGGTCTCTTATATGATAACTATGAGAACATGACATAGGACTTTTATAATGAGTAAAATCGCCCGAAGCTCTTATATGAGGATAATGCCAATATATGGACCTCAATGAACATTTCCAGTTTTTTGTCTTCAAAGAAGAAATGTGTAATTACAGAAACTTACGTTGGAGAATGGAACTAGGATTTTAAAAATATCGGAAATGGGGTAGGAATTTCTATATGGATGCCGTGTCAGAAGATGAACCTATTTATTATTATTATTATTTTTTTTTTTTTTTTTTTGAGAACCCAACATTAAACCTCATTAAGATCATTTACCCATATACGGCAATTGTAATGTCTACTATATTTTATTCTCTGGGAATGTGACCTAGGACCTCTAGAATATGTAAAATCGCTCGGTGATCTGAAATGAGCACTATCCCTTAAATGAAAATTTTCGGTCACGACGACGTTTTTTACCCTCAGAAATGCGAAATAACGTTGGAGAATGTGGCTAGTAGCTTCAGAATATCGAATAAAGTGCGGATTTTTATATGGGGACTATGTCCGAAATAGAATCTATTTAAATTTTATTCTTTATGTGAACCCGATATAAGGCAACTTTGAGATATTCAACACTAAAATGTATCTTTAATAACTTAGATTTTTGTCTACATGCAGAATTCCTGTCTAAGTTCTCTGTCTATATGCAATCATCTAGATGTAAACCCTAAAAAGTCTTCCTTCATATAAGAGACCCATGTAAGGATTACCATGTTACCTCCAATTCCCCTATGCAAACCACTGTCTCACAGAAAAAAGACAACAACAATGCCCGTCTATAAAAAAAATGGACACACAGATAAAAAAGTCAAGACATATTTGAATAATGAATGCATTTGTGCGTCGCATTCTTACACAGCTATTCGAATACCACATAACAGCACACCCCACCCACCCCACAGAACATTACAACGCCACCACCATCCTCATCGTCATCATCCATCCCAATCCAATATGAAATTCTATTAATAACATCAACCGAATGCCACCAGTTTCTTTTATTCACATTAAGATTGATAGGCGGTGGGTCCGTATTGTCTGTCCCTGGCTGCACATGTTTCTGTGGCTGAATTTTTGAATATCTATAATGATATCATGTATGGTGGGTCGAACTTCCTCCCCCATCGAACCTCCACAATAATGATGATGCATTTGAGCAGGGGAGTGAGTGCGTGATTGAATATTCATCGTTGTTATTTTTATATTAAATCGAATTTCAATTTCTTGTGCTTGTTCTTCTTCCTCGTCGTCATTCTTTTGAACAAGTCATCCAATTGGAAGGCCAGATCATAGCATTTATACCGTTACTAATTTAATTTTTTTGTTTTATTTTTTTTCTAGTAGAAAAAATTGAGCTCAAGAAGCAAAGGCTGCCGTTACATTTTCAATTGCTTCGAAAAGATGGGAAAATGAAAAGGAGTGAAGAAGAAATAAATAAGTGCGATCAAAATCACAATAAATGGCAGGCAGGCACATATTACGATGATGATTTGTCTTTGTTAGAATGGGGTATGGGTCATTGAACCGAAGAATGAGACCATTTTAACATGGGGAGACAAATTCTAGAAATTAAAAAAAAAACGTCTACATCAATGCAGAATTTTGCAAAAAATTTGTAAGGTTATGTTGAATATCACAATGTTATGCTCAGTTAATCGGTAATAGGTACGAAGACCTACAGCTCTTCTATACGAAGACCTACAGCTCT